GAATCTACCGCTTTTCATTCAAAATAAGTTGGCATGTATGCATGCATCGCTTTCCCACAAAATAATGTCGTTCACTATATAGCTATTAACAAATCTCCAGCCTAATTATTTAATTAATTATTTAATTATTAATTAATTAATCAATTAGCTAGCCTACACTAGTTGTTTGGGATTGATTGTCAGTTCAGAAACAGTTCAGTTCAGTTTGTTATTGAAAGCCAAAGGTCATACACCATAGATTAATTTATCTGTTTTTAGACGCTATATATATACACGACTCGAGTCGCTTTATAGTTAGTTATAGGGATAGTGGTAGTTATACTGTTTGTACTTGTGTGTGCATGTGTGTGTGTGGGGGGGGGGACTGCCGTACTCGAGACATTAGGATAAGTCTGCAGCGCATACGTAGTGTTGCTGCAGTTAATATGTCATTTTCGGAGGTTGATCAATGTTATGTGAATGTTGGTAAAAACGTTCTCAGCATGTCAGGAAAACTTTCCTAAAAAACGTTATTAGAACGTTACTGAATAATGTTCTGCTAACCTAAAAGAAACATTCCCATAACATTCAAGGAACATAACTTTGTTAGCTGGGTCGAGCATAGAATGTTAGAAAGTGACTTTAAATAAATCACAGTAACATCTGGGAAAGTAAATATCGAACTCCCCTGGTTTTTTAATTGTGATCTAGTTCATTCACTTATTATCAAACCATTTCAACCTCTACTAATTATTACTTTTTAACTAATGTCAAATTGATAATTTGAAATGAAAATGACACACACATGCACACAGGGATGCACGCACGCACACAATCATGTGTGTCACACAAACACACACAGTACAAACAGGGCTAAATAGTAAAAAGCTTACTCAGCCCTTAATGATCAAGCAAATGTTTCAGTGAAATTAGATAAATATATCCACACAAATGTAGTGTGCATAGCAGTTTTTGTTATCTGAAACAATAAGCACGTATGAAATAAGTTGATCCTGCTCAGTTCTCAAGCCAGCAATCAAATAAATGAACAAACACGCAAACTCTGAAAAGGAAAACTCCAGTATACTCACGATCGGCCAAAGTGCGTTTCAGCTTAAGGAAGGCAGTAGCAAGTCGGAACACTGAAGCCTTGTCCAGTTGCTGCCCAACCACTGGCTCATATGGTAGGGCTTCAGCAAGACTGGTCATCACCTCCATTTCACGGTCACGCCGCACTTTAGCTGCGTGCCGGTTCTTCTCAGCCCGCCTGCATTTAAACAATAGGTATAACTCATTTACAATGTATATCAAGAGCTAATCACATATGATTGTATCAAGAGTAGATAATAACATGTTATTATCTACTCTTGATTGTATCTAGACCTATATTGCAATCTTATTTTGTTTAGTGCAGCCTTTCATCTCGACCCCAGCAATGAAGTCTTATAAGCATCAAGTTAGGAAAGAAGAGAAATAGATGGCTTAATTCAAATCAACATTCAACTGATAGAGGATATGTCTGGAAAGCCAAGCTTCTTCAATAATCTCTTTCACTTTTCCAAAAACAATTACAATTACGGTGTACCAAATCCATAAATTAACTTCTAAATGTTCCAGATTCAATGTTCTACGAGTCCTGATTCAACTAGAAAGGGCAGTTGTCGCCAACTACATGTATCCCCCGTGTTTTCCCCAAGATATGTTAACAGTAATACGATATTTGGTTCGCGCTGAAGGTCAATTAGGGCGTTGAGTTATTAGGATAAGGGAAATATGATCAAGGTCATGTATCAAATGTCAAGTCAAAAAGGTTGCAGTGACTGGTTTCGGCGTACTGCCGACACACATTCTCCCAAGATGTTGTAAGTATACAAGTTTTGGTAGCCGCTTAGGTCAATAGGGGCCGAGTTATAGAGCGGCAAGGGAATATGATGCAACGTCAAGGTCAAGGTCAATAAAGGTCGTAGTGACCTGGTTTTGGTACCGCGACACACGCTTCTCCAAGATGTGTAAGCTATCCAAGTTTGGTGCGCTAGCGTCAATTAGGGCAGAGTTAGGAGAGCGAAAGCGAATATGATTCAAGGTCAAAGTCAAGGGTCAAATAAAGGGTCGCAGGACCTGGTTTTGTTGGATACACTGACCTCACTTCTCACTCCATAGATGGTGTAACACTGTAAGTATACCAATGTTTGCGTACGCCTAGCCGTCCAATTAGGGGCCGAGTTAGAGCAGCGGAAGGGGAAATATGATCAAGGTCAAGTGTGAAGGTCAAATAAAGGTCGCAGTGACTGGGTTTTGGTACGCTGACTCACTTCTTCCAAGATGTGTAAGTATACCAAGGTTGTTAGCTCACTATGGTCAATTAGGGGCGAGTTAGAGAAGCGGGAGGGAAATATGTCAAGATCAAGGTAAAGGTAATAAAACGGTCGCAGTGACCTTGGTTTATTGCGTACTCTGCACACCTTCTCTCAAAGATGTGTAAGTATACGAAGTTTGGTCACGCTAGGTCAATTAGGGGTCGAGTTATAGAGCGGAAGGGAAATTCTCTGCGGCGGACCGAGCGGCGGCGGCGGCTGGGGAGACATGAAATCATAGTATCCCCGCCGACTTCGTCGCGGGCGATACAATTACTAGCCGATTTACTGTCAGACTCCATAATTTGACAATTGACATATATAGGAATCCTTATGACTTCGTGCATATTCTGCGATACCATTCCAGAGCGCGTTCTCATAAAATTACCCGATTTTTTCAGCGAATAGCCCAAGAAAATTTAGCAGCGCCACAGCACGAAAGTCCCGTGATTTTCAAACACATGTAAAGAATAGTGTGTGTTAGCCAACGAGCATCACACTTCCCGCATACTCAAAGTGTATACACAAAGTGTTGAGCTTCTGCATTGATTGTCAATGAGCGCACAGCACAGGCTGAGAAGATTCTGAGTTTGTACTAATTTTATGTTTTACCACATCGGATATATTGTCCATCTCTGGTTCAAGCCTTCTTTTGCCACACATATTGGCCGTTTTGGGCGAGTAAGTGTTTATGCTAGGTTACAGCAGCACTTAGCAGACAACATTGATTATACAACTGGCAACATCGACTTACGTTTGACGTCACGTGACATGCTATATATGTATATATATATATATATGTGTGTGTGTGTGTGTGTATATATAGATATATACGTCTATTGTTCTCAGAACGTAAATAGCCACCTGATTGTTTCATTTTTCTGTGGCGCTAAATCTCACGTGTCACAACTCACGTCACATCTCACGTGTAGCGTGTTTAAAATGCGTAGAGGTGACGCATCACGTACCACTCGTGCCAACTAAGCCGATTCCGTACCTAATCTACAACCTCCTTTCTACAATACAGCTTGTTCTGACCATAGAAATAATATAGGTATCTCTCTATAATTCTGTGGCTCTGACACTTACAAGATGCCTGTGAGTGTGACCATTGTGGTTGAGGATTAGCCTCTACAGACATGGGGATACATAACCAATGCAAAGAGAGTGATAGCACTTCCGATAAAAGTGGAAAAGATACCGACAATAAACGTCGTGCCTTGCACAGAACAACCCGATTAGTTTATGAACAAAGGTTACATACAAAAAATAGGCAGTGGCTACGGGTACGGTAGCCGTATCTTAATGTCTCGAGGCTACGGGTACGGGAGTCCATTCGCTTTCATACTTAACGAGACAAAGATGGCGGCGGTGGCGCTAGATTTCGAAATAACGCCTTGGGAAATAAATTCACGATTTGAGAGTTTAGATGAGCTAGAACCCTAACCCTAACCCTAAACCTAACCCTAACCATAACCCTAAACCCAACCCTAACCCTAATCCTAACCCTAACCCTAACGCAAAAAAGGGGCTACCGTACCTCCAGCCACTGCGTACAAAATATAAGAATACAATATAACTCATACTGAATAGAAATACAGATATATAATAATATTATAATAACATAACTGCAGTTTACACTTTGAAGTAGGCGCATGGTAACAGGTGATTCAGTAGCTTACATTTCCAACCTTTTAGCAGACCTTTCCAAATGCACTTAGCACATATAAAAGTAGGAAAAAATTTGGTTTGGTCACTTGGGTATGTGTATATGCTGTGAGCACTTCCCTCCTCTGGAACATGTCAGGAAACGGATTTTAAACACCCATGACGTATTCAAAGGGCAAACTCTGAAACGGAATGAATTTAAATGGCTAGCTGCACGATTCTTTATTGTTAGTGTTAGACTGTTAAGTAGTTTAGTCGTTCGGTATGTTTTCAGACCTATTTGATTTTGTATCTTAGTAACATTTCACGTTTATCATTTAAAAAGCCGCGTTTTTATGTGAGTATAATTTGTTCTGTACTTGTATACATATAAAAATGTCACTCACAAAATGGTACTGCTTTTATGTTTACCGCCTGAATATAGTCTTAAGTGATTTATAGATATTCAGCATTTGTAGTCAAAACTTGTTGGTTTTTAATCATTAATCATTTAGCATCTTTTTGCTGTGTTTGAATGTGAGAGAATCATATCATTACCCGTTTCATATTTTCCATTATTTGTTAGAATTTTAAACTGAAAAATAGGCACATGTGTGCATTATTATTATCTTTAGTTTTGAACTTTATTTTACTACAGATATTGGACTCCTACTGTCGGTAGATGGTGTTTTGGTGGGATTTCCAACAGCTTGCTCTGCTTAGGAAGCACGAGCACAAACCAAACGATACTTACTATAATATACAGTGGGAAGCTCGATTAACACGTGACAATTCTAAATTAATATTTACTTGTAACTTCTTTGACAAAATTCTCTTAACTCCTATAAATTGCTCAAACGTAGGACGATAATAATTATATTGTATTTAGCAAACCGTGGCGACAGGATGCGACGCTTGGCACGTCACACCTTGTGCCGGGGATGGGTGACGTGACGCGCCACACCTACGAGCCAAGGTCCGGCCGATAATAAAAAAAAACGATCGGATTGAAAATGTCGCCGGGCGGTTTTCGGAAACGGCACGGACGAAAGATCATAAGTAAGTTATTACCCAAAAGAAGAGACGAGAGACGATGTCGTGGAGATAGACGAAAACAGAGATGACGGGGCCTAGGCTTGGGTGCCTAGGTCGCCGTAATGTATATATATTTGTATTGTGTTTACTAATAAAGTCTTCAAGAACAATTTCTGCGACTACATCGTCTTTACTCTTTGCTACAATCTGCTATCATTTGCTAACTCGACGATGCTACGATGCCGGAGCGGAGATCAACAACTTTACAACTCTACGATTCTACGATGCCGGAGCGGAGATCAACAACTTTACAACTCGATGCTGCTACGATGCCGGAGCGGAGATCAACAACCCTTATTCACAGTACCATGCAGTTATAGCCTTTATTAACTTGTAGAAATGACTGTAGGTATCACAGAATTCGTAAGACTAACCTCCTATCTAAATCACCTTCCGCCCTTCTTCCCCCTACGTCTTCAAGTACTATATAAATATATATATATATGAAGATGTTCAGCCGAATTAGTCCGTACTCGCATAACTAGAGAACTCCGCAGCCTAAAGGCAAAACTAAAAATATTTTCAGAATCAGCACGTCTGGGAGGTGGTTCTGGCTAAAACAAAAATTAAAAAAGTTAAAAAGTTAAAAATTGATAAAAATTTCTATTCATCAATAGATGGCGGGGCGGTGCGTACAGATTAACATCACGTACGTGTGAATCCATGGCATGCCTTAACGGCACAGTGGCCTAATCGCTAAAACATCCGTCTCCTACACCGGGATTCCCAGTTCGAGTCCCCAGCTGGGGAACTTATTTTCCTCTTTTTTCCTTTTTTTCCCTTTACCTACCTCTTTAGTATGTATTATTTTTTATTATTTTATTTTTTATTTTTTATTTTTAATGTCTTTTATCTTTTGATTTCTTATTATTTTTTACTGTTTGGGATGGGATTGAATGGGATGGCATGGGATGGCATGGGATGCCCCTGGTCCAGCGAAACAAAGCGAACCTACCCCAGTCTCAATTTTTGCTTGCGTCGAGCAATGAAGCAGCGAAGTCCAGCCGAAACAAAGCGAACATGCCCCGCTCTGTATTTCGCTTGCTAGCGCGCAGCAAGGCGCGCAAGTTTAATAGCTCTTTTATATCGTTATATATATCGCTCCTTGATATCTATTTCATAAATAACCCCCCTTTGATATCTAATTTATATCGATCTGCCCCCCCTTTAT